CTCCCTTCGGACCATGAGATAAACCTTGACCAAGTTAAGGATAACCGCATTAAGGTTCCACTCTCTCTCGTAAGCCAATCAACCGAAGAAAGCGCTTAACGGAAAGTGAATTATTGTTTGTTCTTACGTCGAGCAAGTGTGACGAGCAAGGGTATAAAAATATAAAAACGATGGGCCTTTCGAGCCCATTCACCGGACAGTGTTGATCTATTCCCGCGTTCGGATATCTTTGTTTCATTATTAAGTGCATGATGACGCTCTTCTATGGCGTGGTCAAGGAAGTATGTATTAAAAAACAACACTCGTATGATGAAAAAACTCGGGGATGAATCGTTCGTTTCAAAGCAGCGATCTCTTCTTCGATATATCGTTTCGAAAGGAGGGACATGGGTGAAATTAACAGACATTATTAAATTAGCGAGTAATGGATATTATCGTCCTGTTTCAATTGACCTAAATTTGCACATTTACTTCGTGTATTATTAATAATTACTCACATAACGAGGCATCGGTATTCGATTGGTAGAAGAACGTTTTAACTCACCTGCAACAGAAAATCAGATAATTTGTTAATGATTTCGTATGAAAGATATAAACAAATATTTTTTTATTTATCATTACTTGTTCCGATATATCCCTTGTAGTTAATTATAAAATTAATTAAAGAAATATTACTATAAATATTATCGAAACGAAATTATTTTATTATAAATAAAATCATTATTATATTGTTTGTTCTATATTAGAAAATACAGAATCTTACAATGATGTCTAAAGCCGAAGAGTAATTGCATTTTTATATCCTGTTATAATGTGAACTAGTTACAGTTTAAAATACTAATACTAAATAAACCGAACAGAAAAGTCGTCAATACTTTTCAAACTATTATAACTTTATTAAAAAAAAAAAAAAAAAAAATCACGAGTCCAGCTTTATTTTAAATTCTCTACTTTCGCAGAGCTGAGATTCTTTCTCTCAACAATTTTTTTCATAATCAAGTCCACCGTGACTTTGCAGATTACAGCTTCTCCTTTGCAACGAAATTTTGTTGCACAATCTTTTTGTTTCTGTTTCGTGTTACCAAAGCATCGACGAAATTCTCATCAAATGCACGTATCTCCTACGTTCACTGTAGTAGTACTATTGTTCTGAATCGTGATCAGCGAAATCCTCGCGACTTGTTACATCCGAAGCAACTCGTGGCAAACCACCGATCTGTTTATTCAACGAGAAACTTTACGATGCTCCGATGGGGAAGGGAGCGTCCGCCGTTATGTTCGTCGATGATTCCCTCTTACGCGGTTGTCCCCGCTCCCGCGGAAGCGCGCTTTACGTGACGAGCTTCCATTTACCGATCTCGCGGGAATGTCAAGGTTCCCGATGTAATTTCAAGCTGGAATGCCATTCGTCCAACCTTTCCACCCCACCTCCCCAACCCGGGGAGACTTCCGTGGAAAACTTCGCGGGAGCCATCGGCTATCGAACGAGCCGAAAATTAGGTCAAGTGCGGATCTCCCGGCACGTGCATCGGTCATCGTGGAAATCGAAACGCGGTGAACACGAACACGGGAAATCGAGTGTCGCGGCGCGTGGCGGTTTTTGCAATTCCATTCGTTGAAAAAGGAAGGTGAATGTAATACTGTTTGCTGAATTTAACACCGTGGCGGCGCGCGTATTTTTCAAACGAGTTTTAACAGTGGACGAGGTTGATTACAAATGAAGAAAGATGAAAATGTATTGTAAGAATCGACAAAAGCAAACGATCGTCAGAAAGATCTCGTTGTACATTAAAATAAATAGTTATTGTTACAGTTTCTTATTATATGAATCTCGTGATATATTTATTTGATAGAGTAAACCTCTAGCATACAATATTTAACGAATAAAACAATTGTTTATCCATTGTAGATTCCGAGTGTTGTTTGCCATGAAGTATCAATATATTACAATGCAATGTCAAGAAATATTTATTTTTCCAACCATCATACTGATAATTGAACGTGTCGATCGGAAAGTATAGTCATTTCAATAATCGTGCGCGTATGAAATCGTCGAAATCTTCATCAGC